ACCACACAGGTACGCAAGATGGCGAAGGATATCTGGCATGTACAGCCACAGCTGGGGCAACCAGAGAGATCTTTGCTAGGTTCAAACACGTACCCTTAGAAAACTCAGAAAAGGATCTGGTCAAACCATCAACAGGAGTCCAAATATACATGAATAGAAAATGAAAGATACAAAGTGAAGGAAGATGGTGACTGCACCAAACCAAGAAGAGATTAGAGGAAGGTTGAGGTCTCCGAGGTAGGACCCCACAGATGTCAACAGGGGGAAAAGAGCTTGACCTCAAACCTTTTACAGAAGGGACTAAGGAAAAGGGGATGTGCACTGGGCAGAGGAAATGTCTGAGTCAGAAGAGAGCCTGAGGGAGTCAGATGGAATGCTGTCCTCCATTGTTTAGTTCCCAAAACAACTAAGCACCACTGGCTGAAGCCTTGGGCAGAGTCCACTGATAGTAATTCTGAATCTCTCCTTGAAAACAGCAGCTACTTTCAGACATTTAAACAACAGAGTGGAACTTTCACTTCTAGGAAAAGAGATAAGTCCCTTTCCTTATTCCTTCCACTAAGCACAACTAAATCTCCCGGGCATTGTGTATAAAGCAAGCACAAGCCTCTGAAAGGCTGGAGATGAGCAAGCTGGCCAGGGAACCAAGGAATGACACAGTGTAGAAGACTTATAATTAAAAAATAATGAAAGAAATAAAAAAAGATCTAAGTAAATAAACATTCTATGTTCATGGACTGAAAGACTCAACCTAAGTAAAGATATCAATTCTCCCCAAAACTGATACAGATTTAATTCCTAGCAAAATCCCAACTAGATTTTTTTATACATACTGACAAGAGTATTCTAAACTTTATTTATATAGAAAGGCAAACAAACTGGAATACTTAAAATTTCTGAGAAAAAAGAATAAAGCTAGAAGAGTCAGTCTATTGGATTTCAAGGCATTTTATAGTTATAATTTACATGGTGATATTGGTGAAGAGATGGACACATAAATCAATGGAACAGAATAGATAACTCAGAAATACCTACACTAATATGTCCAACTGAAATCTGACAAAGGTGCAAAAGAATTCAATGGAGGACAGGCAGCCTTCTGGACAAATGGTATTAGAGGAAGAGGACATGCATAGGCAAAAATAAATAAATAAACAAGCCTCAACCCAAGTCTTCTACCTTATACAAAAATTAACCCCAAATGGATCACAGGCTTAAATGTAAAGCCTAAAATTTTAGGAAAAAACATGGGAGAAAAACTTCAGATCAAGAACAAAGAGCTCTTATAGTTGAAAAAAGCACATACTATGAAGAAAAAATTGATAAATTGGACTTCAACAAAATGAAAAACTTTTACTCTACCAAAGACCTTGTAAAAGATTTTTTTTTAAAGGCAAGCCACAGACGGAGAAATAACATGCAACCACATATCCAACAAAAAAGACTAGTATCTAGAAATATCAAAAATTCTTAAAACTCAACGGTGGGGGGAAATACCTAATCAGAAAAGGGCAAAAGACATGAAGAGACATGTCACCAAAAGGATATACAGATGGCAAATAAACGTACGAAAAAATGTTCAAAAGTATCAGCTATTGGGGAACCGCACACTAAAACCACAATGAGCTATTACTACACACCTATCGGGTGGAGAAAATAGAAAAACACCACCAAATGCTGTCAAAGATGCAGAGAAACCGAACCACTCAGACACTGCTCGTGGAATATAAAATGGTGCAGCCACTCTGGAAAAGAGTTGTGTTGTTGTTGTTGTTTTTAATATAACTATGCAATTAACATATGACCCAACCATTGCATACCTGGGCAATTATCAAAGCGAAATGAAAACCTATGTCCACACAAAAGCCTGAACACAAATGTTTATAGCAGCTCTATTCATATTAGCCCCAAACTGGAAAAAATGGAGCCATCATCCATCCTTCAATGACTGAATGGTTCAACAACCTGTAGTACAACCACATGATGGAATACTACTCAGCAATAACAAGGAATGAACCATTGATACATGCAACAATTGGATGAATCTCCAGGGAATGGTGCCAAGTGAAGTCAATTTCAAAAGGTTATAAATGGCCTGGCTCCATTTACACAGCATTCTTGAAGTGAAAAAATTAGAAACGGCTTAAAAAGGGGTGGGGTGGCTCTAAAAAAAAATGAAAGATCCTTGTGGTTATGGAAATACTCTATATTGACTGCATCAATGCCAACATCCTGGTTATGATATTACTAGAGGCCTGGTGCACAAAATTCGTGCACTGGGGTGGAGGAGTTCCCCTCAGCCTGGCCTGTGCCCTCTCGCAGTCCAGGACCTCTCACTCCGTACCAGCCACCTGTTCGCTGCTTCTTACCATTCATCTAGCTTTGAACTAAGAGGCTCCCGCCAACACCACTGTGCTCGCCAGCCCATGAACACGACTTCTGGTTGACCAGCGCTCCTCCTGTGGGAGCGAACTGACCACCAGGGGCCAGCTCCTGCACTGAATGTCTGCCCCCTGGTTGTCAGTGTGCATCATAGCGACTGGTCATTCTAGTTGTTCTGCTGTAATGGTCACTTAGCCTTTTATTATATAGATCCTATATTTTGTTACCACTGGAGGAAAGTGGATTAAAAAAGTATACAGGGTCTCTATTATTTCTCGCATGATTCTAAAATATTCAAAATAAAATATTTAATTTTTAAAAATGGAATGATCTGAGAAGACCTGGGACATAAGCACAGATAATTTCAGCATAATCAGGTAAGATTTTGAAATCATCAGGGTAATTCTAAGTAGATGTTGGGCAGAAGGGAGGGAGAGGGGGATATCCCTGCTGCCAGTCAAGTAACACACCTTTCTCTAGACCCAGTTAAGTCGAAAGGCAATTAGTGAGGGCTGATGGACCTGTTGGTCTCACAGAGGCCCAAGATCACACACTTGAACCTTCAGAATCAACAGAGCCAGCAGGGCCGGTTCAGGAATCCGTGTGGATGATTCTCAAACCAAATCCCCTAATGCAAACACCTAAGGAACCCTGCCCGGGAGAAACCTTGGGGAACTGCAGGCACAGTATCTAAACTGCCCTGGGGTCCCATTCAAGAAAGGACGGAAGGGTGTGAGACATGGAGGACTGTTACAAATGTGAGGTCCTCTACTCTTTCTCAATTCACCTGTGAGCTACCGAAAAGGTGAAGGTTAAAGGAGAAACGGATGTAAGTTTAAATCCATGAATGTAAGGACAACAGAAGAAAGAAGGCGTTCAGGAAGACTGGTACCTGAGGTGTCATTAGTTCAACCTCTAAGTTTTGTAAGAATTCACAGCAACGGTCCGCTGCTGGATGGGGTTAGCCCTTTTAAATGTTATTCTCAGAGAAGAGACTTTATATAAGTGGATTGTCTCCCCCATTTGAATTTAAGTTCACAAATTATGAACTGGCCAAAGGTCATGTGAATGGCAAGCTGGAGAAGATGAGATGAAGGTTTTCTCTCTTCTTTCTTCTGTTCTTCCTGTCTTCAGCCCCACCTCCCACTGCCACACCAGGGGACATGGATGGGAGAGGACCACTGTAGCTTTGCTAACTTTGAGGCTAGTCCAGCAAGAGCCACAATTATAAAGTCTCTCCTGGACTGTGGGAGAGACTTTAGGTGGGGAAAAGGCAACAGAACAAACAGAACTAAAGACATGAGTTTGTTTGTTTGTTTGTTTGTTTCCTGCTTCCTTTTAAGATGGAAAGAAATATTACCCCGCTGATAAAGTGGGGACAAGATAAGAGGGTGCTCATACAGAGCCCACGCATTCTCACTAGGACAAACGAAAGAGCAACATCAATCACTATCTTCTTGAACTTGGTGGGCATGTTACTCTTTTGAGTGTTTTACTATCAGAGCCAATGAGACATTTAACATCCAATGCTGTAAGAATGTTCTCAAAACTCTTCATCACTTCCATTTCCACTAAACTGAAAACCCAAGAGATTAAAATTATTGAGGTATGTTTGATCTTCTATTCTCCAAATTCAAAATACTGCAAAGAACTCAATGTAATCATAGCCCTTGGGAAACTATCATGAAGATATTGGAGGTAAATAAAAGAAAAATCGGTTTGCCATTGCAACTTCATAAACAGAAGTTTGAGTGAGAGTATATTAGCACAAATAGCACCCATTTCCAATTCTAGTATGGACAATAAATCACATAATCTCTCTATGCTAATATGTTTCATTCAATATGTCCAGCTACTTCCAAATGATAGGTATCATGTATTTGTAAAACACCTTTATCTAAGAGCCAAAAACTGTCCGTGGAGAGAAGCAACAATAGGGATAAGTTGGCTGATGTCCACTGTGAAATGTATTTCACCAACATCAACCTGTAATTCGCTAAAACAACAAAAAAGCTGCAAACAAATGCAAAGGTTTCCTATTCAATGGTGATGGGTTTCCCACTCGTAGCTTAAATTGGCCATAATAAAAAATATTACTGAATATTCTTCAGGACCAAGCAGGCAAACCATAAAATGGATACCAATTAGGTATGTTTGACTACAAAAAGACAGTAAATTAAAGTAACAACAGGAATTTTTAAAATACCAATATTGTCACTAATAATTAAGGAAATTGGTGATGCAGCCTGAGTTGGGATGATACTCTAATTAGCTAGATCTCAGACTCCCTACATATATTCCAATGATCCAACAATTAAGAACTCCGTTACTGACCCTAAATTGTAGGTGCCATAACTCAACTAGTACAGAGTGTTTCTATCTGTTTAGGAGAAATCAACTTCCCCGAAAACATTTTAAAGTAACATTCACGTTTCAACGTTGTTCTGTTCTATGAAAACAATGCTTCTTCTCTCGTCTATGTGCATACATACATCCACACGCATCCACACACCCCCTTCCACTTAACTGAGCTCCTCCCCCAAAACCAAGGGCATCGTATAGAACACTCATGTCTACAGATTCATCACTGAAACACCAAAATGTAAATGATACTCTACTTGTCCACTCGTTTCTGCAGCCTGCTGGAAATGCGTAGCCAGTGATGTCTCGTCCTGGAACACTTCGTTGCACTCCAAACATTTCAGACTATGCCTGCAGAGCTTGGACGGGTCTTCGTCTAGAGGCATAGCTGGAATGGTGGGTGTGCTTGAAGGAGCCGATATGACCGTCCCAGTTATACCAGACTGGATTTTTGTTACAGTGTGTGTGCCAGCTGCCACAGAGCTTGGCAGAGTGGAAGATGAAGCAGAAGTATTGCTTGGTGGAGAAACAATCATTTGATCTGCTGGGACGGGCTTTAGGATCAAGTGGGAGCACTGCATGACCACCCCCTTCTCCTTATGCCCACGGGCATGGGAGAGGAGGCTGCACTTGTTGTAGAAAACGAGGTTCTTTGTACAGTGGTTACATGTCACCTCGATGCGCACACTGCGTCTGTCGTAGTGCTGAGTCAGACTCTTTTCCAGAGCGAAGGAGTCGCCACACTCCAAGCACTTATAGCCACGGGTGGGCAGCGTGATGCCTGCGTTAGCAGGGGGACTGAGGTTGGGGATGTAAATTGGAACAGGGTTGACACTGCTCAGCACCTTGTTGAAAGCTTCCACCACAGAGCTCTGCAAGGAGGACACCACCTGGACTCGAGAAACCTTTTTGGGTGGTTGTGAGACAGCTGCATTGATTATTGCCTGCTTTATTTGCTGCTGAGGTTTGGTTAGCACTTGGCGGAGCTCAGAGGTGGCCTGTGCGCCCTGAGGCAGAAGGTTAAGGTTGGCGAGGTGCACAGTCTTTGGCACGAGTTTGGCATTGGCCAGGCTGGATGCCGGCACCACAACGGTTTGCTGCTGGATGGCATTAGCAGCTTTAATGATGGCGCTGCTGGCGCTCTGAACAGAGGCAGCAGATATGACTGTGGCTTTGACCGTTGTGTTGTTAGCGAGCTTCAAATTAATGACTTGAGATCCTGCTGTCTTCACAGCAGACACTGGGAGGAAGGCAGTTGCCACGGGCTTAATAGTGACCTGCTTGGGGGTCAGCTCTGCAGGGCTAATCGCGTTGGCGACAAGGGCAGACTGCAGAGGCGCTCTGGGGGGAGAGGCAAGGACGGCAGCTGCAGCTGGGGATGACAGAAGCGACGTCACAGAAGCCAACACAGGCCCTGGATGCTCGGGCTTTTTTCCAGAGTCGAGATCAACTTCTGGCAATACCCTTGTCACTGTTCTCTTTATTTCCCCAGAGGACGTCTTAATGGTTTTGATGCGGACTTTGGGAATTGCTGGTGTTGATCCTGCAGGGGACGACGGAGATCCCTTGCTACTGTTTTCACTTGAAATGCTCCTGGGGCTATCCGGCTGCTTCAGGGACACCTTCTTCGTCCCATCGATGAGACTCTGGGACTCGGGAGACTTTTCAATGGCTCTAGGACTATCATTGACTTCTTTTGGTAATGGAGAGGGTTCCCGTGAATTGGTCACTGGCTCTTTACTGGCGCCGGAAGCAGCCTTTTTAGCACTAAGAGCGGCGATGGCAGCTATGCAGGAAGAAAGCTTAGAGGATGGCTTTGACCTTGACGGAACCACGCCGACAAGGGTAGTGTCGTTCTTCTCGGAGCTCAGCTTCCCGTCGTGGACCCTATTTTCAAGCACCTTTTCAGAGTTTTCCTTCAATTTATCCTCCACTTTTCTGACTTTAAAAGGTTCATAAACACTCAGATTGATAGAATTTGTTTCTGTTTCTCTCTTGATAACTTTGTTTTTGTCTGCATGGCCTGAAGTAGAGATTCCAGTTTTGCTTAAGTTTCCCCCTCCAAGCGCCTTCAGTTTCTCGTAGTCCTGTTGGGAAACAGACCCCGTCAACACATTCGATCTAAAACTCGAATGCAAGTCCTCTTTGTCAGGGGGGTCATCCACCTCTATCTTCTCATCATCGTCAAACTCTTCAGCACTAGAGATAGGGCTAAACTGGCTGAAAGCGGAGTCTTTTAGAGTCACCTCTGAGGTAGGCACATCTCCTTTCAAGGACTTTGACCCCTCTTTACTGTAGCCGTCCAGAGAGGACGCTGTGAGGAACCCATTGTGTAGGCCATTGCCCGTGGGGTGGCCGTCTTTCTCAGAGCCCTCGGAGGAGGAATCAATGTTCCGAACGTTCTTAACAATAACACTGACACCCACGTCGGAAGAGGATGGCGTGTGGGAGTCGTCCTCTCGCTTGATGTGGCTCTCCTGGTCATCGTGTCCAGATTCAATAGCTGCTTTAGGATCGACCATATCTGGGATGTCGAACGCTGCCAGGAGGTCATCAAAGTCGGGGGTCTTCATATCCCCCATGGTCATGAATTGGATCAGATGTTCTGTTAAACAAACAGAATAATTCCATCAGCAACTGGCATTTCAAAACGAGAAGAAAAACACCCTCCAGGATTTACACTAGCACAGTGATGATTACCCAAGAAGAGCAAGTCGGTAACTGCACAATTATTATAATTACAGAAAAATTCTGAGTCAAAGGGAACACATTTTCAGAGGACATATATAAAGCCTTGATAATTGTAGCTTCAAAGGAATTCTTCCAAAATGCCGCACACCGCATGATCAGTATGGCACCACTCTGAATAGAACTGATCAAAGCTGTTACCTCAAGAAAAGTAGGTTTTGGTGTAACAACCAGAAAATTTATCATTTACCACTGGATTCATCGCATCCTCACAAAAAACTACTTCAAACATATTTTGATCTTGACAGCATTTACTCCCACTGGCAAAATAATCACTGTTATAGTCACCATCAGATTTGGAATATCAAATTAAAAGAAATGTAAATAAAATAAAAAAACAATGACAGCCATTTATCCACAGAAGAAACAAGCATTCCGCTACTGCTAGTCAAGTTCCACCTGGGTTTTTTAAAAACCCTTAGGCGCTGATCCCATCTGTTTTTGTTTAGTCCTAGTTTTCTCTATTCTGTTAGGAAAAAACACCATCTTGGCAGAAAAGCCCAACATCCCTTCCTTGTCCCTCCCTAGCCCAGGGGTTTTAATGGTTGAGGTGACACATGACTACTTTCTAATTACCACCTATCGGACACAGTTGTGCAAGCGGCTGTGGCAGATGAGAAAGATCCCACCGTGAAATGATGCTCGGTGCAGACCTGAGGACTGCAGAGGTGGGAGAGCAGGCCCTCTCCTTTATCCGAAGCGGGATATGGGTGCATAACATTCAGCACCCATTTGTGTCCACAAAGCCTTGGTGATAGACAATTTTAGAAAAATGGACAGTCACAGCTGTTACTAAAGATGAAGAATATATACATACATGAAGTGCCGAGGGTATCTAAAGGGTGCCCTTTACCCCACTGCAGAGAATGCATGATCGTGGGGTTCAGATAAAACTTCTGCTATAAGAGCGATCGTTGTCCTCCCAAGCCCTGCACATTACGCTCCTTTCTGGTATGTACTACAGCGTGTGCACTCGTGTCTTCTTACCCAGATGGGACTGTCAGCACCTGCCAGACTGCAAATGCAGATAACTAACCAACCACAAGTCAGAGGCCAGAACACTAGATTTATAACAGAGCAGGTCTGGACCCTAAGAAGTGAGGGAATCTTTGGGCAGGTTCCTTCCTTCTACAGTGGTGGGAGGGAGGCAAGCATCTAGGAAAAGAAGGAAAGAAGGAAAGGGAAGAGAGGGGATGAAAAATAGGAAAGGGGCCAAAACTGGTTTGGCTCAGTGGATAGAGCATCGTCATCGGTCTGCGGACTGAAAGGTCCCGGGTTTGATTCTGGTCAAGGCCATGTACCTTGGTTGCGGGCACATCCCCAGTGGGGTGTGCAGGAGGCAGCTGATCGATGATACTCTCTCATCAATGTTTCTGGCTATCTATCCTTTCCCTTCCTCTCTGTGAAAAATCAATAAAATATATTTTTTAAAAATAGGAAAGGGAAGAACAGAAGGCAACAATCAAGGTCAGAAGACAAGAGGGTTACAGCTGATTTTTGGCAACTTTCAATGGAAAAATTAGCCTAACTGATTCTTCAATTTTTCTATTATTCCTCCTTTAAATCACTAAGAAGTGGTCTTCCACATTTTTATGGCAGAACTTAGGTAATAATTTACTTTCTTGTACAACAAGTAAAAGATCATTTATCCCTAAGAAAAGTGATGACACAAAGGTCAAAGCTGAATTTTCACTCAGGTGACAACATACCGTATTTTTCGGACCATAAGACACTCTGGACCATAAGACGCACCAGTTTTTAGAGAAGGGAAATGAAGAAAAAAAGATTCTGAAACAAATAGTGTCCTAAAATATTTTATGTGCATTAAAACCCAACATCACAGTAATAAACACATGTAATCAACCCTGTAAAGTAAACAGCAGCATTTAGAACCATTTTAGAGCCGGGCAAGCACACAGAGACCACACAGAGCCGGGCAAGTAAAAAAACTTTTTTTTTAAAGTATATGTGTAGGCTATATTTGGACCATAAGACGCAGGGACTTTTTCCCCCCATGTTTGGGGGGAAAAAAGTGCGTCTTATGGTCCGAAAAATACGGTACATACCAATGAGAACTCCATAAATTCATCATCAGTTGCTAAGACACCCTCAGCATACTCACTCCCTCTGGGACATGACCAAACACTTCTAAGAATCCCGTTGGGAGAAATTACTGATGAAGATGAAATAAACACTCACGTAAGGAGCTGGAAAAAAACTTCACCTTCCACTCACAACGTCTCAGTTAATGGAGACCTAACGAAGCCCCACACACTTTTCTCTAGACTGCTTGGTCCATTTAAAGGAAACACTCTTTTCTCAGGCGGCTGGCTACGGGACCACACGGGGAATAACGAATCCCCAGTATCAAACACTTCAGCCAAGAAAAAGGTGTGGAGGAAACAAGACAACACTTCTAAGCTCATACTGATGTGAAAGTATCTGTAAGAAATCATACCCAGTGTGAAAGTTTGTGATGATTTTCTTTTAAAATGAAGTTGAAATTTAAACTGCAAAATATAGGGAATGAAGAAACTATCAGTCAGATAATAGGTCTACTTAAGAGTCCACCCATTTAGGAATAATCCATGAATGTCACCACTTTTATTTGTAAGCAACACGTTGCAATTTCTAAATGGAATACTCACAATAAAACCAGTCAGCAAAGCATCCCTGTGGTCTCTCTTTCCCAACCACGGTGATCCAAGCTATAGATCAGTTTTCTGAGAACTCTGCTTTCATAGAATCATGACCCATGCCCAACCCAAGCACCACTTATCCACAGCTTGGACCAAGCTCTGGAAGTCACAGTTGTGGTTTGGGTCCTCTAAGTGCCTCCATCCTTTCTTTACAGCTACCCTGGATGTATGTCATTTGCCCTCTCATCATTCATCCCAGAGGGCTATCAGTTCAGGAGCAAAAAGAACATAAGAGACAATTCAAATACTTACAGGTAGTAGGCCTAAGACACAACCATAAGAAATGATAAAAGGTCACCACATGAAACTTTGGATGACTGGCAGTTCAGATCAGCAGTCCAATAGTTGGAAGATCAATGCATGGTTCTTAGTATCTCCTTCTTCTGTTTACATGGAGGGGACCTGCTTGACCTGTCTGTGCTCAGGTGCCCCAGAGCAGGTAGAAAACCTTTCATAAGTGGTAGGATGTTGCTCACCACACTGCCTGTATCTTTTCCCATTTGCCCAAGTAAAGCAGAGTTAAGGTTTGGGAAGCCCCAGCCTGCAAAACCCCCAAGGGGCTGAGAAGACATTCCTGATTCAGGAACAACTCTTTTCTCTGTAGTAATCCAGCTACCCTGCTGTCTCAATCTCCGGTACTACCTTATCCTTTCTCTTGAGGGAAAAGGGTGAACCCAAGGGTAGAGCAATGAGACATCCTTAGAGGTAAGAGGGAGTTAGCTGTGGTTTAAAAAACTAAGCCTCTTAGTCCACCTAATGGAATCCTGACTGCCACGTGGAAGTGCACAATGGACACAGAATACTGAGTGGGGCATCGACAGCGCGTCCCACTGAAACCCGAGATCACACCATGCGGGCGGAGTTGCCTCTCAGGGTTGTAAAATTAATGTAATAAATACCGCTCTGTAACTTCACACTTCTTTTGTTGGTTTATAGAAATGTTTTTCATACCCACATCGTCCTATACCTTCCCACATTCGGGAAGGCGAGAGCAAATTTTCCACTTGGAAGAAAAAGTAACTTTAACTCCCACTTCATTTCTCAGTTATATGAAGTACAAAGAGGAATGTTTATGTTTGCAAATTCTTTTCATTTTTTCCCTCCAATTCCTAAGAAATAGATTCCTTTACTTCAAAGCATTACAAAAATAAATCTTAGTTGTCTTTTAAAAGATAACATAACAAGACCTCAAAATTTGAGCTTCTCTTGGCCTCAAAAGCTTGATTTTCAAACAGAATTAGCTTTAGTCATTTTAACTAAATGTCTTTCATTTCATTTATTTGCTGTAAAATATATCTTCCTTCAAAGGCACTTGTCTTCTAATGTAAGGCTAAATCACATTTCAATAACCTATAACTCACTAATAGGAGTGTGTTCAATGTAGAATGTCCTGTTACCCAAAGACATTGAAAATATCTAGGGGGAAAGGCTAGGCCTGTTTACAGAACAGGAAATTGAAAGACCTCAAGTGCATCATGTGATCTCTTTATTCCCTCCTATGACACAGACAAAATATTTCCTTTCCTACCAAAGCCTCTTAAAATTACAAAAAGCTGTTTCATCTTTGTTGGCAAAAGTCAAAAGTTATCAAATCAAAAGAAAGCCTCAAGACAAACCTATTCATCCCTTACTCATACTTACGCTTTGCAATAAAAAAACAGGGGAAGACTGTTCGTAGAGCTGTTTCCCGATTTCCAACTGGAGAATGACAGCGTGAAAGGCTTAGGCATTATTTAACCATGGCTGCTAACTTCAATAATCCCAAAGACATGTGCCCAAACCCAGCCAAGGTTCTGCCTCCAAAATGAATACGCAAGTCATTCTGAGCAGTGAAAACACGTCAGCTTCCCTATTTAAATGGAGAAGCTAACATTTTCTTTACCAAACATCAATAAATTCTAAATCATAACAATCCTAAAGAAAAACAAATCAGTCTATTGGTCATCATGACAACACTAGAGGCCTGATGCAAGAAATCTGTGCTCTAGTGGAGGGTGTGGGGGAGGCGAGGGGAGATCTCTCAGACTGGCCTGCGCCCTTTTGCAGTTGAGAGAGCCAGACATCCTTAGGGCAGAGCCTCTGGATGAACGGTGCTCCCCCTGTGAGAGCACCCTTACCACGAGGGGACAGCTCCTGAATTGAGCATCTCCCCCCTAGT